GAAAGACCGCAGAGCCGATTCCTAGGCTATTAAATGAGAAGGGTGTGGAATACAGCACTTGGCCTTTAGGAACCGAGACCCAAACCTATCCATAACCAAACATGCGAATGTAACTAGCCACGGGTTCCTCTAAAGGACACCGAGGGACATCCCTTTCACTGCTGCTTGAGTTTTATCTTGTACATGAATTTTTTTAAACACTTAAATGAGCTCAACTTCTCTGGCTAACAGCTACCATGGGGAAAGGACTATGCGTGCTGCTGTTTTTCCTTTCTGATGATTTCTGGGTTCACACTGGTACATCTCAGACCTAGAAGCACTGGTGGATAATAACTGTATTGTGAGCTGAACGATTGCAGAAGTAACGAAAGCTTGTTGACTCCTATTCAGCTTCCTTTCTGAACCTGCATGGTGCTATCAAGATACAGAATGGTCTCCCTCAGGTAGTCCAACCCAATGGCCTGCCCGACCCACACCCAGTCCTGCAGCAGCTCCCAACAGCTCCAACTTCATCCCTTCCCCAGCGTCTCATGGAACAAGGGATGGATCCCATTAGGGCTGTCCCCCACTGCACAAAGTCTTCCCACCAGAGTTCTCACATGGTAGCTACAACCCACCTCCCTGCAGGTTTACACACCTGGCATTTTGCTATCAGCCTTAGCAATCTTCTATACCTACCTCACCTGTCCACCCACGCAGCAATGTAAAAGGCAGGTGCTCGCCCAGCAGTGGGCATCCACTGTAGAACTTCACCTGATCTGCATTTCACAAGCAGGGCAGGAGCTGTCCTTGGGCCCCAGGGGGTGCAAATGTACATCTTGTCATCTAGACGAAGACTCCCATGATCTCTTGAATAAGTGTCTGGAATCAGGGTGATTCTTACCATCTCTGTCTTCTAGGTGTCACTTGTAATGGCACTGGCAACACCCACTCAGACCCCACTGAAAACACACCACTGAATCCTGCCAGTGGTCAGATGAAATGTCTGGCCACCATTTTGACCCCCTGGAACCAAAGAACTGTAGTTTTCAGGTGATTTGGATAGATTTAGCCACATTTCTAAAGTAGAAGTAATGATCGTTTGCTCTTGACCTAGTAGGTGATCCAAAAGCGACCTCAATGTCAAAAATGAATTTGAAGTTTGAGTAACATTCATGAAACATGCATAAGGAAAGCTCCTACCTATAAACCGAAAAGTTATATATTTCAGTCAGATGAAGAAGGGATGGCCTGTCAAGCCAGGCATTCATCATGTGAAAGCTCTAAAGACTGGCACGAGAATTCTATTTTTAAAAGCACAACTATTATTATTATTATTAATAAATTGTGATTAAAAATGGGATTGCTATAAAAAAATGGGATTGCTATCTAATGAAGTTTATATTCCTAAAAGTTTTGCTTTTTCAAAAGCAAAACTTTTCAAGAAATGTAAACTGTCAGACGCCAGTGGCTCATGCCTGTAATTCTAGCTACTCAGGAGGCAGAGATCAGGAGGATTGAGGTTCGAAGCCAGGCAGTGCAAATAGTTCACAAGCCCCTATGTCAAAAAATCCCATCACAAAAAAGGACTGGTGGAGTGGCTCAAGTGCTAACACCTACAGAGCAAGTGTGAGGGTCTGAGTTCAAAATCCTAGTGCTGCCAAAAAAAAAGAAAACCAATGTAAACCATATTGCAATAAATAAAGAAATGTCAACAGAATAGAATTTCATCAGTTAATCCATTTTTCCAAATAGGAGTTTGACTTATGTAAGATACAGAGGCAAGTAAGTGCCCTGCGCTTTGTCCCAGTAACCACCCCATGTCACTAAGTACGGCACTGAAAGAGTGCGGTGGCTATGTAATTACGATAGCCCATTCAACAGGCTATGCATCTGTTTTTGAATAGCAGATACTAAAACTGAATTTAAGTTACTTTTTATGGTCATGAGAAGACTGGAGACTATTTTAAAACAGCCACTGAATCATTAGGAGGCAAACTAGTGAGTTTTTTCCAAAACAGTGTTGCCTTAGTCCTACCCTTGTACTAAAAAAGGCTTGGCCTTCCAGTCTTAGGATGCGTTAATACAGGGGGAAACGGGACACGCGCTATACTGCTGACACAGTTATTGACGGGGTTTGAACTCAGGACCTAATGCTTCCTAGATGGGCACTTTACCACCAGAGCTACTCCACCAGCCATTTTTTTTGGACTGGGTATTTTCAGGATAGGGACTCCAAACTATTTGCCTGGGGCTGGCTTTGAACTGCAGTCCTCCTCCTGATCTTTGCCTCCTGAGTTCCTGAGTAGTAAGGATTACAGGCATGAGCTTGAAAAGTTTCTAAGTGTTTGTAACACTCAGGCCCTTTAAAAACCAGAGTAACAAACTGGTGATCCGGTCTATGAGTTAAAAATATTACCAGCAAAGGGGCACATGGCAGCACTGCCTATAGTCCTGCTACTCAGGAGGTTGAGGAAGGTGGATTGCTTGAGTCCAGGAGTTCAAGGCCAGCCTGGGCAGCAAAGGGAAATCCCATCTCTATTTAAAAAAAAAAAAAAAAAAAAAAAAAGCCAGGTGCCAGTGGCTCACGCCTGTAATCCTAGCTACTCAAGAGGCAGAGATCAGGAGGATTGCAGCTTGAAGCTAGCCCAGGCAAATAGTTCACAAGACCCTATCCCAAAAAACCATTCACAAAAATAGGGCTGGTGGGTGGCTCAAGATGTAGGCCCTAAGTTCAAGCCCCAGTACCAAAAAAAAAAAAAAAAAAAAATTTACTATTCTCACCTACCACCAAAGCAATGCAGTGCCGCCCCTGCCAGTCTCCCACGGTTTTAGCCAGCGCACCTTGCTACAGCCACAAGGCTGTGCTGACTGGAGCCCCACAAAGGCAGCACCACACAGACACACATCAGCAGAAGGACGACCACACCAGTAACTATGCAAACTAAGACTAAAAGCATCAGTGCAGAGCAGGCTTTGTATTCTTTATTTAAAAATCAAAACACTATTTTTGTGGTTAACTCCACACCTTTTCCAAGTAGCTCTTCAGTTTGTTCCAGATTCACCATACACCATAAAAATCCCTTCCTCCCAACAGGACGGCAGCCCAGAGATGGGCACTGTGACAGAATGAGCACCTCTCTAGTTTCAGTCCAGACACAAAGTGACTCAAGTAGGAGTCACTGGAAAAGCTGAAGGGCTCCTTGTGCTTTCATTCTTTTTTGAGATTCTCCAGAGGTGAGTTACAGATTTAGAAAGATTAAAGGAAGCCATTGGGAACAAATTCCTCCAAAGGGCCCCAGTGTCAAGGCTATCCAAGGAACCTGGTGGAAATGCTGGGAGATCAGGGTCTAAGGACCAAGGTCACCTGGGTCAGTTACTTCTTCTCTTCTCATAGAGAGAAAGAACTAATTTCTGGTTCCTTTAAGATAACTGAGAATTAAGAAACCTAAGAACTCTTCTTCAAACTATAAACAATAAGAAAGAAAGTCATTTCAAAATCCAATTATCTTCACAAATGTTCACAGCAGTATTATCCACAGAAATCCAAATGTCCCTTTATGGAAGAACAGATAAGCAAAATGTGGTGTAAACACACAATGGAGTATTATTTAGCAATAAAAAAGGAAGTTCTGATACATGCTACGTGAACAAACATTGAAAATAGGTTGTTGAATTAAAGAAGCCCCTCACAAAAGACCACATTCCTCTTAAATGAGATTCCCAGACACAAAGTGGAGAGATCCTATATGTGGTTTCTTTGTGAAGTGTTGAAATGACATAAAATCAGACTGTAGTGATAGCTACACAACTCTAAGCACCTATACCATAAATTTTAAGTAAATTTTAAGGTACATAAACAACATCCCAATAAAGCTACAAAAATAACTCAGAAAACTAAATCTACAAACGTATGCTTAATTATACCAAGTGGAGGGGGAAAAAAAAACCCTATTAATGTAACCACTAAAAAAACCCAAAAAACTTAATTATCTAAAAGTTCCCCCAGCTGGAAGTCCAATAAATCTTAAACCCAGTTATGACTCCAAAAGAATTCACATTCCAACCTACAGTTCAAAACTGCAAATGCAAGGCAACTTATTGTCATTAACATGTACTTCAGACGCCTTTTAATCCTGAACTGCTGCTATGCTGACCAGTGGAACTGGGAGCCCCACTTGCTAGCCGCTTCCTAGGTAGCTGGAGGTGTTGCTCTGAGTGTCTACAGAAGGTTCAGAGCAGATCCTCTGTGCTCTGGGGGCACAGGCAGTCAATGAGCCTGAGAAAGGCTGTAACGAGAAAGTGCTCTTTAGAAAAGAGCATTTGGAGTTGGTCTACACTGCTGGCCCAGCTGGGTTACTCCCATTGGCTGAGGAAGTCTGAGGAGTGAAGCCTGGAAAGCCGGCTCTTAGGCACCGTTCTGGGGATGCTGGACAGGGAGCACAGTCCCTGGACTTCACCCAGCTCCCTAACAGGAGGGAATGGAAATGAACGAGGGCTCTCCTTCACCAACTGCATCACCTTGATACTCAATTTCTTACAGACATACCATCTTACAGAAAAATAATCAGAAGGGATCATTTTTGAAGACGTGTGAAAATCCCTTAGACATGACAAACACGTCTTATGTTCTGATGGAATAATAAAGAACACTTTTAAATTACGAGTAGATCTTTCAAAGTCTTTAAAATGTAATCTTTGGTCTTTGGTCAAGAGAATAATGGAGCATTAGGAGTGATCTTTAAATACAAATGTCGCAAACGGTCACTCATCAATATCACGACTTAGGTCTCCATTCTGTGGTGTGTGGGAATGGACGAGTGCAGGCTCACAGCAAAGATTGAGAGCTCCTCCCTCCAAGCCTACATTTGAAAATGCTTAAACTAACTCCACCCCCATCCAGAAGTTCAAATGAACTGCCAATGAGTCCAGTCAGTCCTTCACTCGAAGAACCTGCTTCCCTGGGGTCCTCACAGGTGTCCCTTATGCTGTCCCCACAAGGAAACGCTCCTTTGCCTCCTTCAGTTGGCCTGGGCAACTCTGGTGTGGGAGCCGTAGAAGTTCAGCATTGTCGTCACCAACTCTGGAAGATCAAAGCCATGCTTCCAGCCCCAGTCCTTCCGCGCATTGCTGTCATCCAAGTTCATCGGCCAGCTATCCGCTAGGGAGAGACAAAGGAGAGGGAGAGGCACTCAGGTTATTTATTCAGGGTCTGGATCTGTGGATCTGTAAAATGTAGGGACTGGTGGAATGGCTCAAGTGCTAGAGCACCTGCCTCACTGTGAGGCCCTGAGTTCAAATCTCAGTACCACCAAAAAAAGAAAAAAGCTGCTGGATCTGAAAAATGTTGAGAGAAGGCCGATCACACAAGTCACAAAAAGGGAAATTCTCCCTTAGAATGGAGTAGAACGATCAGGGCAATATTACACATCAGCTTCAGATACTGTGGCTTGCAAGTCATTCAAGTCTCACACTACTTCATTAGACACTAAATCTTCTACACCAAAGGTCACTCCAGGCCCCAAAGTGGCAGCTACAGTGTACAAAACCCAGAGCTGTTTCCCCAACTACCTCAATTGCTTCATTCTGTCCTTGCTTTACATTTAAATGGTTAAATGGTGAAATGCTGTCATGCTCTTACTTGAACTAGAACCACTTCACCCACTCAGTTACCATTTTCCCAAATCCAAGCATCTGCTGACGGGCTCAATAACAGCTCACCTACAGCACCTGCCTGAGCCCTTGGGCAAGAGCTGGGCACTTAACCTTCCAAGCTCCATGTCCTCAGGGGACTCACAGTGAAGGCCAGAGCTTGATTTTTGGCCTAGAGACAGGGAGACCCACCTATGGCCTGTCGGAGGGGATCCACGCGGTACGTGATCTGGAACTCTGGCACGTGCTTGAGGACCTCCTGGGCCAGCTCCTCGGGGGTGAAGCTCATGGCATTGACGTTGTAGATCCGCATGGAGAGAGACTCTGCTGGGGCCTCCATGATTTCCAGGGTGGCCCTGAGACAGTCCTCGATGTACATCATCGGGAGTCTGGTGCTGGCTTGCAGGTTGCACTCAAATCTCCCACTCTTTACAGCATCCTGGAAAATCTGGACTGCATAGTCTGAAAGAGAATCCTGTCTGTGGGTTTTCTTGTGGACCAATGCAGCGGGTCTCCAAAGCTTTAATCTCAGAACCTCTCTGGACTCTTAAAAATGGAGGATTCAGCCAGGTGCTGGTAACTCACACCTGTAATCCTAGCTACCTAGGCTAAGATTGGGAAGATGTCTTGGTTGGAGGCCAGCCCATCTCAACCAATAGCTGGGCACAGTAGCATTGTGCCTGTCATTCCAAGCTATGCAGGAGGCTGAGGTTGGAAGGACTGCAGTTCAAGTCCTGCTCAGGCAAAAAGTTTGTGAAACTCCGTATTAATGAAAAAAAGCAAGGTGTGGTGGCACGCACATGTCATCCCAGCAACAGCAGAAAGTGTAAATAGGAGGATCACGATCCAGGCTGGCCTTGGCAAACAATGACCCTATTTCCAAAATAACCATAGCAAAACAGCAGTTGAGTACCTGCCTCGCAAGCATGAAGCCCGGAGTTCAAACCTTAGTATTAAAAAAAAAAAAAACTCCTAAAAAGAACTAATGTGAGTTCTATCAATATTTACTAACTTATATAGTTAACTGAGAACTTAAATAATTACTGCATTCTAAAAATGACAAACCTATCATATATTAACATGTAGGATATTTTATTGGAAAAAGAGTAGAGTTTCCAAACAGAAAATTTACCACAAATAGCCTGGTTTACATTTTGAGACTCTCCCATGTTGGCTTAACAGGAGACTGGAGCCTCCCACACTCTGTGTAAGCCCGCTCTGCTGTCACCCATCCTGCAGCCTCTGGGAGAGTCACAAGGCACTTGTGAAAGGAAGAGGGGAAACAGCCAAGGACAGCCATATTGATATGAAAGGAGTTCGACCTCAATTCCCTGAAATGTCCCCCACAGGATCCCGTGTTGAACACTTGGTCCCAGCTGGTGGCACTACTTTGAGAGGTTCTGGAAACTTCAGGAGGTGGAACTTAGCTGAGGAAGCAGGTCACGTGGGTGGGTCTTTGCAGGTATCTTGTCCCTAGTCCTTTCCTGTCTGTCTGTCTGAGGTAAAAAACCTCTGGCCACCATAATGTTCTTTCAGTCACATGGAATCAGGCAGTCATAGACTGAATGCTCTGAAACCAGGAGCCAGAATAAATCTTTCTCCCTTTACGTTGTTCTCTCAGGTACTTTGGTGACAGCTACACAGAATTAACTAATACATTGGATGCGGTGGTGGTGCATGCCTGTAATCCCAGCACTGGAGAGATTGAGGCAGGAGGCATCATGAGTTTTTAGGCTAGCCTGGGCTACGAAGTGAGATCCTGTCTCAAAAAAAAAAAAAAAGAAAAAGAAAGAAACAAAGACTGTATTGAAAGAAAGAAGCTGTGCTCATTGGAGGTTTTCCCACACTGTGAGTAACACATTTGTCCTCAAGAATCATGCTTTACCTTGGCATGTTTTACTTGGGTTGGGGTGGCCAGCCCAAGCTGGACTAACACCATCTGACGTGTTGATAAGGTTCAATGTGCCTCTGAGGAGGGGGTGAGAAACTCTGGGTGGCACATGGCTAAAGGGACAGCAGAGTCACTCACCACAAGGCAGAGTCTTCCCCACGATGAGCCAGCTATGTACAATGAAGTCAGAGGTACCACTTACCAGTTGTCCCTCCTCCAGGCTGGGAATCGGCTGAAATGATGCCGGGATACCTCAGGCACCGGAAATCCAAGCCATACCGGTAATGATAGTACTGTGAAAAAGAGAGAACTTCCTCAGAACAAGAACCTTTCGTCAGTCTCTTCCTGAGCCATCACTCCATGCAGCTGTGCTAAAATAACTCCTAAGGAAAATGAAGACTGCAGAATCTCCAAGAGTCATTCACTTGTCTTTAATAAACAAGGTGAAATCCTGATTTCCCAAGAATCACATAGTGCTATATCCATTCTGTGCACGACAAGTCTGCCTCCTGCCCAACATCCTAGACAATGCTACACACCGGGTCGCACCCTGCGGGAGGGCAGAAGACCAGACAGCAATGACCAGGACCTACCAGCTGTAGGACCAGACACAGACTAATTTACTACAGTTATAAAGACAGAGAGTATACAGACAACCAAAGAAAGGTGTTTTTGTTTGGTTTCTTATTTATTTATTTTTGAGAGAGGGTCTCACTACATACACAGTCCAGTCTGACCTTGAACTCACCATCCTCCTGCTTCAGCCTCCCAAATGCTGGGTTTACAGGCATGAGCCACCAAGCCCAGCTGCATGATAGAAAGTTTTAAAGCTGTCACCCACAAGTACCAATGCTGGAAACCTGGAAGAAGGATGCTGTACAAACAGGGCAGCAGCAACCCCAGGAAGAGCCGCTAGTGGGGCCAGAAGGTGGTGGTACCACAGCTGCAGGGAAGTGACCACTCCATGGCTGAGTTCTTCAGCCATGCCATGTGGCAAACACTGATAAGCATCCCTGAGAGCTGGGATGGAAAATGGTTCCCCCAAAATGAATCAGCAGGAGTTTGAGGCCAAAAAGAACAGCACAGGGAGCAAAGAATCACATGGTCCCATCCACCAACAATCTTGCCTGGCAATGCTTACTTCTCCCAGGAGCTCCGCATGGACCTTGGACACCCCATAGATAGTCCTGGGTCTCTGAATGCAGAGGTCCGGGGTTGGGTTCCGGGGAGAGGTGGGTCCAAAAGCCCCAATCGTACTGGGCACAAACAATCGCAGATTGTGTTCTGCTGAGACGTCTAGAATGTTATGCAATCCTGAAATGAACGGACACTATCAGAACCCGAAAGCAATCACTTCTTACCAAACAGCCGACGCCGCGAGGCCAGAGCCAGCCGCTCACCTGTGATATTCACGGCTCTGGCCAGGGACACATTGGCCTCTCCCACGGCACTGAGCAAAGCACTGTAGTGCAGCAGCCAGGTGACACGGTTGTTCACCACGATCTCGCGGAGATGCTTGTAGTCCAGGACATCGGCATAAATGAACGGGCCTGCCAGGAGCAGTGGGATCACAGTGAAGAAGGGTTGCATTTGAAAGGCTAACTGGACCTCGGGGGCCCCACTGACTAAGGAAATCACACTGGTATCATTTTGATGATCAAGCCAACTGGGCACCGGGTAGCAATTTTCTTAAGAAGTGACAGACCACAGCCACCCATAGGCAGTAACAGCTCATGTCTGAACCGTGCCAGGCTTTAGCACAGTGCACTCTCTCATGGCCTTGGAGGGAGATCATTTCACGATGAGGAAACAGAGGAAACGGGTTTTAGACGTGGGGTCATAACAAAGCTCCCCAGTCAGTGCTTCTGACACCGACTACAAGTCCAAGGTCACCTCACCCTGCTTAAACAGTGCGCGTTTAAACGGGAAGAGAGACATGTGTCTTTAAAACCCGCTGTGGAGCAGAGCCATAAGCCACAAGCTCTTCATAATGACTCGAGAGGCAGAGCCAATTGTCCCCACTTACAGAAAACTGCTCCTCTGCCCATGGGAAGCAGCAAGAGGATGCCCTGGACCGGAAGGACTGAGGAAAGGAGCAGATTCCATCCACCACAAGAGTCAGAGGGTCATGCGTGTACATCACAATTAATTTCTCCTACTTATTTTGTTTTTTGTGCATCTTTTGTTTTTTGCAGTGCTGGAGCTCAAACCCAGAGCCTCCCACGTGCTAGGCAAGTACTCTACCACTAAATTATACCCCCAACTCTTTATTTACTTTTTTTTTTTTTTTTAATGGTACTAGGGTTTGAACTCAGGGCCTACAACTTGAGTCACTCCACCAGTCCTTTCTTGTGATGGGTTTTTTTGAGGGTCTCTCAAACTATTTGCCTGGGCTGGCTTCAAACCTCGATCATCCTGAGGATCCAGGATTGCAGGTGTGAGCCACCAGCACCCAGCTATTTATTTACTTTAAAAAAAAATTTTTTTCAGACAGGGTCTTGCTGGCCTTGAACTTGAGACCTTCCTGCTTCAACCTCTCCAAACTGGGATTATAGCTATGTGCCACCATGCCTGGCCCTTTATTCATACAGAACTTGATTTTTGTTTATGGATCCAGTGAGTCAATGAGTTAACAAAAAACTCAAATGTGAGAAATCATAGTTTTTCCAAAGATAATATTCCAGAACTTAACTTCCAATTCCACAGAGCTCTCCTGTCCTTGTGCCACTTGACCATGGCAGTGTTAAAAATATAAACCACTTGTAAGCACATGACTGCGCCTCAGTCCCTTCTGTGGTGCACACTGACTCCAAGAGCCTCTCCTTCAATTGCACTCTGCAAATTAAAGATCAAACAGCAGCAAGGACTCCCAATCTCTTACCACCATGGAAGACATGAGCAGGGGGTTTCTTTATGTCTGACAAAATCACATTGTCCTTCCCAAATCGTTTCCTGGAGGGAAATCCAAAACACACAAGTTGCCACGTCAAGGTGTAACAGGTCCGTGAAACAACCTTTTTTTTTTTTTTTGGTTTTGGCTTTGGTCAGTACTGGGGTTTGAACTCAGTGTTGCCTGCTTGCTATGGAGGCATCCTACTACTCGAGCCATACCCCTAGCCCTTTTTCCTTTTTTGAATACAGTCTCGAATTTACACCTGGGCTGTCCTGGACAGAGATCCTTTTATTTACTCATCCCGCTGGGATGACAGGCATGCATCACTGCAACCAGCTTTTTATTGGTTGAGATGGGGTTCTCTCAAATGAACTTTTTGCCTGGGCTGGCTTTGAACACTACCCTCCCAATGTCTGCCTCCCTGCTAGGATTACAGGTATGAGCCACAGCACCCAGCTGTAAAGAATCTTCTTAAATAGGAATTGCAATTTCCTGGCAGCCTCCAAATCCCTCCTTCCTCTTCACCCTAGACATGTACCCTTTAGTTCTTGCCTCCCTCATACTTGGGCCTTTTTCCCATCCCACAGCCTCCTCTTCTATTTCTGCTTTCACCACACTGTCAGCTTTGTCACTAATGTCCTCCCAGTATCTCTAGAGGGTTTATCTCTTCTTCCTCATTCTTTCTCCAAATCCCAGACTGTTCCCTTCCAGTTTCTATAGGCGCTTCCTTTTGCCCCCACACAACTAAAAGGCAAGTGACTCCTCTGGGGTCATGAGTCTCACTTTGCCTAAGTTAGAAAAGAAAAAGAACAAAGGGACAGTGTGGAGGCCTTGCATTAGGGCCTGCAACAAGTCTGTGACATCGGGAGGTAAAAATAAAATGTATTTTCAGTAGCTATTTAGATGTGATATCTTAAGAACAGAAAAGGAAGGGAGAGAGAATAGATGGTTAACCAGTTCTGTAATCCTTAAGTACCCAGACTTTAAACATAAGGTTTTAAGGTTCTTACCTCAAAAGGTTAGCAAGCCCCACACCCAGCTGGCCAAGACCCCCTAGACAAAGAAGAAAACAAAGTGAAATTTTAATCCAAATCTAACCAGTTCAATTTTTCCCAGATTGTAGTAACAGAATTAGACTTTCCAATCTTGGCGAATTTAAGTCCAGGGTTGACCCGAGACGACTGCTGCCAACCACCCTTCTCAGCCACACAAAGCAACCTCTGCCCAGTTAGAACAGAAAACCATGCAGGTAACAGTTCCAGTCACCTCCAGCAAGGGGTGGCTGAGAGGCAGAGGGGAAATCACACAAGAATTCAGTCCTGGCCTTTATTCTTTTGATGGGTTCTGAGACTCAGGAGCCCAAAACATTCAACTCCAAATGTAAAAGGTTTGGGAATCCCCCTTTGGTGGGATCACTCAGAATCCCATCTCCATAGAGCTAGGCTGGTATATGAAGGGGAAAGAAGAGACAAAGCAAGAAGTCATCTGAAAAAAGGGCAGACAATGGAATCAATGAGCAGCCACTAACAAAGTGGAAAATGAATGGTATTAACTTCCTAATTTGGTATTAAGGTTTATAGACACCTCACATAGGGACTGAAAAGCTAGGGGAGGAAAAGAGTAAATTTCATGAATGACACCCCTGTGGGCACAGGAAGACACAGCAGTGGGTTTTCCCACAGCTTTGTTAACACAGGACTAAAACCAGGATGCCCTGGACGTGCCTCCCTGGAGGTGAGAAGGTGTGGAAATCCAGCAGAGGAGGGGAACTAAAATATGCCAATCAAACAAGAGGGGCGGCTGGAAGCAGTCTGTGAGCACCAGCACAAGGTCTGCAATGAGGAGGGGGCAGAATCAGGTACTGGCATACTGGAAGTTAGGAGGATCAGAGAGTAAGTCTGGGATGCGCTCCCTGGCAGGGCTAACTCCCTTGTTCTATGTGCAGCACATGGAGAGGGCAATAACATAGCGTGTGACAGATGGTTCTGGGCTTAGGGCGACGACTCCAGCCCAGGAAAGCTGTGCCTGGGTCCCACAATCAATGTTGGAGAATCTGTGCCCTTCCTTCCTTCCTATCCACAAGCCAGGCTCCTCAATTCTATCCTAACATGGAATGGAACCCAGTTCTAAAGCGGCTATTTGGCCCCAGATTACTAGGTCCCTTCAGACAAGAAGAATGTCATTAGGGAAGCCAAGAGCTGGCAACAGTGATGACTAAGAGCTGGGAATTTGCAGAAAGGCAGTGTCAGATCGGAAAAGGTTAGCTGCTCTAATTATGTGAATGCCTTATTCTGAGATCCTTTTCAGTGATGTCATTAAACTCAGACCCGGATGTCACCTGTGTGAGTCTGCTCTTGCTCCATTACCTGCTACAGGAACCAGCAGCCCGGGGAGTCTCTGATAGCACACCACACATCCCCAGAACAAAGGCAGCCACTCAGAAGCAGAAAAAGACTTATACAGGAAGTGAGAATCGAGTCACAGACATGGAAAAGAGGAGCCAGAAGGAAAACCAACCTGTAATCAAGACCCGGGGAAGGTCTGTTTCAGAGAAAGAGGCCGAGTGGGAGTTGGCACCTGCTGGAACTTGTGGAGGGGAGATGCCCAGAAACCGGACGGGCAGGACAGTGGTCCTGCAGCTGCAAGCTGGGGCCACTGTTCTGCCCACCATCTGCCTCAACATCCTGGTGACCAGCATTTGCTCTTCAAATCCCCTGCAAGGAAAAAGGGCCATGGTTAACTACTAGCCTTTTACTCTTTCAGCCCTGGAACAAGCTCTTTAACTGAAATTATCACTACAACTATCAGCTAATGAGCAAAGCCTGTTTGGGGATTCAGGAATCTCACCAAAGAGACTGCTGAGCTGGCCCACAGGAAGCCAGTCCAGTGCCTGTATGAGCCCAGCCCTGTGTTAAAGGGATGAAATGTTGCTCACACAGTCCTAGCACACAATGGCAGAACAGAGATTCAGAATTGATCTTGTATAATGCTGACCTAACACAACAGTGGGATTACTACAGAGACGCCACCGAAGCGGGATGTCGGTGGCTTGCACCTGCAATTCCAGCTACTCAGAAGAGTCTGAGATGAGGAGGATCATAATTCCAGGGCAACCTAGGCAAGAAGTTCACAAGACCCCATCTTAGCCAATAGCTGTGCTCAGTGGCACACATCTGTCATTCCAGTTATAGTGGGAAGCCTAAAATAGGAGGGTACCAGTCCAGGTTGGCCTCGGCAAAAAGCAAGACCTTATCTCAAAAATAACTAGAGTGTGACTCAAGTGATAGAGTACCAATCTAGCAAGCATGAAGCCTTGAGTTCAAGTCCCAAATACCACCCAAAACTCCCCCAAAACCATCAGCCCCTGATGCTGATGAAGGTTTACAATTCCAGGTCCTACTGTGATTTACACTTGTTCATGCACCATCTGAGGGGACAAACAGGTCCCAGACTAAATAACAGCACCCTGTCCATCTCATGCTAACACTCAGATGTTATCTTTGGAATAAACCAAACTAGAAAGGCAAATGATTAAGAGAAAAAGACCCCAGCGATATTTAGTAAGCTTTGAGTAGCTTTTGTTTCATTGCCATTTCTTCCGAGAAGATCATTTTGATAGTCATTTCTCAATGCTCTCAAGATCACAAAAAGTGTACTTACTTAACTCAGCCCAAGCTCCTCTTTCTCATCAGCTTTACCTCTAGCTGACTGTGAAATCAGGCCTGGCCTCAAGAGGTCAAAATGGTCCAAACACATATGTCTTGAGACTTTCATCTTCCCTACCTGTCCCTAATACTCTAACAAGCTTGTCACAGAGTAAACCAGAGCCACCTGCTTGCTTTGCAAGTAAATTTCCTACTCTAAAGACAGTCCTGTAAAATACTCCAAGTTGACCTGCATCTCCACCTCCGTGCTGCTGTCATATCTCCCTACATGCACAAGGAGGGACAACAAAGAGGCTAAGATTCCAGCCATTTTAAACTGTGCGTTAGGAAGCTAGAAAAGTAAACAAACCACAGTTGGAGACATCTCCAGTAAGATCCGAACTTGACCCAACTTTGTGCCTTTAGCAGACTTAAGACAGTTAAGATCGAGCATCAGAAGCTTTCCTGCAATCCCAAATAACAGCCATATAGTGGGTACTGAGAAACTGCTCTTTTGCTACAAAGCACCTGCTCCTTACTTGGGCCCATGAGTTAACGGAAAGGAGAAAAGCTTGGCTTCCCTGCCTCCATCTTACATCTGCCTCCTTTACTCTGAGTCTCCCTCCACTGCAGGAAGGACTGGACTGACTGGTTAACATCTTTATGGGGGATAAAACTGCCCCCATGGAAAGGATCAGAAACCTCCCCCCCTCAAATAAGGACAATTACGGATGATGAAAAGGCTGTACCTTGGAACAGGAGTAATCATCTCACGGGAACAAAATTGCTCCTCTCAAGTGAAGACAGCAATTATAACGTCTCCAGACCACCTGGCAGAGCCAGACCTGCGATAATCAACTAGGCCACACTTTGCCTGGGGCTGTTTAATTATGCACACCTCTTTCCCCTGCTCCAACTCTTTCCCTATTTAAACCAAAGGCTCATATAGGGGCTGCTAAAGTGCTTACTTTACACTGTCACAGCTTAAGAGTCTTAGGAGTCTCGTTCTGTAGTATACAAAAACATAGATAAACGGAGCCCAGGTGACTTCAGTCAGGTCCCCAGTGCTACAAAGCCCTTCATCCAAACTAACTCCCAAATGAGCCAGCAGAAAATGACCTTCCCACTGTGGGCACATTTCTGGCTTCATTGATGGGGCCATCGTGGGAAGGGAGGTGTCCAGGACTGGCTTCATTACAAGAAGGCCTGAGACCTTTCTCAAGCATTCCTCAAACAACCACTTTGGGAAAATCCTCCCTTCAGCCATTGTGGGCCTCTGAGACCAGGCAAGAACTCTGATCTTTAGTCACTTAGCAAGTTCAAAGAGAGACTAAGGAAGCTAAGAGACCACTGGATTCCCAAGATATTTGAAACTCAGGGACAATTTCCAATTCTCAAAAGCAAAACGGTGAATGGCTACAGTTAAAAAAGCATGGTGTTTTTGTTCATTTGTTTTGTTTTGCTTTTTGGCAGGGAAGCCCAGAGTCAGGAAAAAGCAAAGCCTAAGATACCAGCAGGTATAGCCCCTTCAATCTTCCCATTTCTACAAGGGGAAAGCACAAGGAGGCACCCTACAGAGTCGAAGCATTTCAGTTCCACAGTGTGGCCCTGACCCCGTGACTCATAAGGGTGTAGGTGTGTTTTTAGAAACCAGTAATTTTCTGCTATCTGTAGTTGGAGCATGGCTGCAGGCAGTGTAACTGCTTGGTTCCCCTTTAGCCCACTGTTAACAGCTCCCATTGGTGCTCTCCCCACAGCACAGGCTGGTGGGGCTGGACTCCCTAGCTACCCTTCACAGAACCCAGTTGCCTATAGCAACACTCTGGCCCCTTATGGTATTGCTTTAACCGTATGTGGGCATCAGAAACAAAAACAAAATCGAAACCTCCAACTCTCTACAGCATTACTTCTCCAAGGCAAGATTACCAACTTGCTATTTCCAAGTTGATCACATAAGATAACAAGGCCTATGACATCACAGCCATCTTACTTTGCATGAGGACACTCTGTTGTGTTCCCACAATGATAAAATTCACCTAACCTTGCATTTCTCATGTGTCCCTGTCACTAAATGATCATGACCACTCTCATGGTAGTAGCTCTCAAATTTTTAGTTTCAAGATTTCTTTGCATTCTGAAAGTTTATGTGGGTTATACCTATCAATATTCACTGTTAGAGATCAAAAACAATAAGGATATAAATTTTTTAGTAACTTATTTAATAGTAAATGTTACCATACACATTTATGAAAATCACATTTTCCAAAGTCAAATCATGTAGCGAGAAGAATCTGTTGTTTCATCTCTCTGGTGGCTGCCTTCAGAGACCAGCTGGATTCTCACATCTGCTTCTGCACGCAATGTGTTTGGTACCTTTTTTTAAGATTATTTTTATCTCTTTTGGCAGTATGGAGGTCTGAACACAGGGCTTTGTGCTTGCTAGGTAGGCTACTCTACTGCTTAAACTATGCCTCTAGTCCTTTTGCTCTGATTATTTTGGAGTTAGGGTCTCACTCTTTGCCCAGACCAGCCTGGACCACAATCCTATTTTATAGGAACCACCGTCACAGGCACAGGCCGCCCATACCAAGCTTTTTTCTGTTGAGATGGGTCGTATGAACTCACCCCTTTTCCTGGCTAGTCTCAAACCACCATCCTTCCACCATCAGCCTTCCAAGTAGCTAGAATTATGGGCATGAGCCACTGGCGCCAGGTGTGTTTGGTGCTTTGATTGAAGTAGATTAAAAACATCCAATCTCACACAGCAAAGCACTGGGAAAGGGGGTTGGTATTTTCTTAGTCTTTTCAGATAACTCTGGATATTCACCTTTGATACTTCTCCAAAACTCAAAGGTTAACTAACTTTAACCTTTCTTACAAGCCAGTTACAATGTGGGATTTGAAATCTTATCAGTGGACCTTTCCCACTCTGCTACATTAAAACCCACTGGTCTACTATTTAAAGATTTCTTAGCTCTGAGTGGTTTTGTAACTGGTCTTTTGTAAAATATTGGCTCAGTGGATTATACCTATCTGCCAAATAAATATTAACTTCTATGTTAATATTCTGAAAATCAGAAGTCATGGTGGCTACTGTCACCACTGATTGAACCAGAAATTCCTAGTATTTTCCCATCATGACATAAATCATGACATAAATTACCAGCAAATACTATTCGTTGTCTCCTTGAGGTGACAGGTTTATTTCACTCATTTTTTAGAATCCATCTGCTAATAATCAAGTTATAGATAACTTGTTTGTCAGCCATCCTTTTAAGAAAAAAAAAAGTATTCTATGAAGAAAAGTGACCAGGTCATCTCACAATTCAATCTCATAAATGCTTGACCTCAGACACTTGGCATAGACAGATAAGCTCCATGGGCATTTCCATTCTCCTCACGACATACCAAAAAGATGTGCAACCAGAAGTCAAGGCTGAACAAAATTAAATATAAAAATGGCCAATGGTAAGCTGGCAATTTTTTTAGTTTGGGGTGTTGGGGCTTGAACCAGGGCCTCAAGCATGCTAAGCATGCACTCCACCTCAGAGCTGCATGCCTGTCTGCAATGTAGTCACCTTGTGGCAGTGAGGCAGACTGGCTGCAAGCACAGTACACTTTGATTTGTGGGAAGGCACCAGTGGTCTTGCCCAGCATTGCCTTTGCACAATCCATGCAAATTCAACACAGTGCTTGCTGAATAAGCCACGGAATACAAGAAGGCAGCCAACACAGTGACTATTTTGGCACTGCTTGTAATTGCTGTGGATCATTCACTAAAAAGACACTCTTCTAGGACTGGTCTGGTATGGATACCACATGGATAGGCAGGGTAGCTAGCAATGTGGTAAATGAAGCTTGCTTGTAAAGTCTTTCACTTGTAAGGAAGGCAAAAATCACACTTCTGCTGTCATGACACTAATTCTTCTGTTTGCAACAAAACTTGCATAAATTATTGTTGTCACTGCAAAATGGCAGTGCTGAGATTGCTTTCAGGGCCTTTCCTTCCAAACAAGACTGTAATGTGTGTTTTTCCAGCCAATGCAATTCAGTA